GGAGCCTCAGCCCCAGCGCTACCTCCTCTGCAGCAACTGCCTGGGAGTGGAGGGAGGGGCAGGGCTGAGCTCCTTTCCCCCCTCTGCGCACACCCATTGGGGGCAGGGCCTGTAATTGCCTTGCAGGCCGGATCAAAGCCCAAGGCGGGCTGGATCGGCCTACTGAGAGGCTTTTGCCCACCCCTGGTCTTGTACAATGTCACAGAACTGTCTAATAGAGCATTAAAAACAAGAAGTAGTCCTGCAACTCCTCACCGTACGTCTACACTCGCACCTTAGTTCCAACTAGGGATGCAAATGCAGGCATTCGAAATAGTCAATGAAGCAGGGATTTAAATATCCCGCGCTTTGTTAGCATGATCTCGCGGGCGCGCTAGTTCGAATCACAGCTGTTCCGAAAGTGAAAGAGCGCACCTGGGCGCGTTCGTTCAGACCAAATCCTTTGGTTCGAACTAATGTTACTCCTCAAAAAATGAGGAGTACCCTTAAAGACTAACAAATCTATAAAATCAAGAGCTTTGGTGGGCAAACCCCACTGCTCATCCTACTGTAGATGTGCCTTCAAGTGCTACAGGACAACTCACTGTATTTAAAGTTACAGACTAACATGGCTATCCCTCTGAGACTAATAAAATATTGTGCAGGTTGTGACTCCGAGGCAATAAAGGATTGAACCGAAGACATGAAGCAGCTAAACCTGAAGGCCGCCATTTTCCTGAATTTCTATCTAAATTATTTAACATGGTTAATTTGAATTCATGTGCATTAATACTAATTAATGTGGAAACAATGTGAAGAGATAATTGAATGTCTTACTGAAATAAATCAGTGTGAATATACAGGCAGTCCCCGGGTTACGTACAAGATAGGGACTGTAGGTTTGTTCTTAAGTTGAATTTGTATGTAAGTCGGAACTGGTACATATTGTAGGGGAAACTCTAGCCAAACATTTCTCCAGAGCTCAGTTTTATTCTCCCACACCTCACTTCCCTCAGCCCTTTATTCTCAAGCTGAAGTGTCTGCTGAGAAAAGCCGCTCCACCTCTCCCTGGTCTGCTGGGGTGGGGGGGCGCTAGCTTCGCATCTCCCTGGTCTGCTGGGGGGCCGTTTGTAAGTAGGGATCCGATGTAAGTCGGATCCATGTAACCCGGGGACTGCCTGTACTGCAACATTTAACCTTTGGGACCATTTAGGTCACATTTTAATGCCGGCCACACTGCATATATTCACTTAAGACCATGAAATAATCATACCTATATTTTCTCTTGCCCTTATTTTCTCTTCCCATACTGTTTACATCCAAAACAATGCGAAGTACTGTGGCATCTTGGAGACTAACACAAATATATATAGTATCATGAGCTTTCGTGGGAAAAACCCACTGCTTCAGATGAGCTTGAGTGGAGAAAAAAATAGGGTTGGGGGCTCTCAGAATTTATAACAGAAAAAAAAGGAGAGAAGAAAAAATGTACCTGTCAATTGTAGTTTTGATGCTAGTACGGCTACCCAGCACTACAATTGACAGGTACATTTTTTCTTCTCTCCTTTTTTTTCTGTTATAAATTCTGAGAGCCCCCAACCCTATTTTTTTCTCCACTCAAGCTCATCTGAAGAAGTGGGTTTTGCCCACAAAAGCTCATGATATTATATATTTTTTGTTAGTCTCCAAGGTGCCACAGGACCACTTGTTTTTAAAGTTACAGACTAACACATCTACCCATCTGAGACTTGTCTACATCCAAAAGTCCTTTCATAAATTTATCATGAAAAAATCATGACAAACCATTAATCATGACAACAAATTATATTACAAGGGAGTGAATTAACTATAGTAGTCTAAGGGTATGTCTACACTACGCAGCTTTTAGTGTAAAAGTAAGCATATGTGAATATTGTTTGTACTTATACCCTCCCAACAAGCAGCTTTTGCTTTGTCTTCAGGCCTGTGATAAAGCAGCATTCACATTTGTACTTTTTGGGACAAAACTTGTTCACAGGAAGGACAGGGTTAAGCACCTGTGAATGACAAAAGTTTGTCAATCAAGTGCAGTTGTAGACATAGCCTAAATACATTTCTCCTTTTCAGCACTAACAGTGAAGATAATTTGTAAATCAAGGAGATAAAACAAGAAGAAACTACAGGGTACAGAAACTATACAAATGGCAAATTATCTCAGCCTTTAAGCAGACTCCAGCCTTTGTAAACTTGCGTGCTCAGGTCCTCCTGAATGAAATGCCTTAAAATGGAGTGATCTGTAGAATGGCTCTCTGAGATTTCTGTGGCCTCTACATGTATGTGATTTGTGAGAGTTTTATAAACTTCTCCATTGTACTCTCACCAACTTCTGAGTTTCAACAACCTACATAAGACTCATTGGCAACCATCTCATAGCCTTTACTTTCTCCACTTCAACATTAACATGTGAGAAATTTGGCAACCAGACAACTAACCCACCCCTTTCATCATCAAGCCAAGGCAACCACGTTATAGCCTCCATAAATTCCTCCCACACATCAGCTTCTATGTCAACCCAGAGGAACATAGCAATGACTATAAATTCATTTTCTATAACCAGTGACCTCACTCCTTTATCCCCACCCACTATCTCAATGCCAAGAGTTTCCTTTGCTTCCCATCAATGTTCCAGATAAGGAAGTCGGTAAAAGCCCTTATCTGCCCCCCACACCTGTCCCAAGTCCTCTTACATTCACCTTCCCCCCCCCCACACACAGAGCTAAATCTAGGTCCTTTCACACCCATTCCCACGCAGCTGATCTAAGACGCCGTTTA